TCCCTCCCTTCCTCTCTCTCTCTCCCTCCCGGCAGTGCATCCCCATCCCCCACACACTGTGGCCGTCTCTTCGGGTGAAAGCTGTCTTCCCTGCGCAACTGGCCCGACCAAACGCTGCTGTATCCGAGCCAGTCCGCACCGAGCCGAGGCAGAGCACACACACGGGACAAAGCACGTACGCACACGGGGAATCTGTTTCGTTGTTCGACCGAGTGACTTTGGTAAGTCTCCCCCGCTGTATTTGTTTTATTATTATGGAGGACAGGAATGTCCATGTGTCGACTTGCTAGTTGTTCGTTTCTTTCTGTCTCCCCGTCCTCCTCCACCTCCTCCTCCTCCTCCTCCCTCCGTATCCCTTCAATTGTCCTCCGTGGGGGAACTAGCGGGCTAAGCTAAGAGTGCTAGCTCTAAATAGCGGATTCAAACGGGGTTAGTTAGTTGTGCTCTTGGTGATGGTTGTAACGTTGTATGGTTTGCGGCCTGGTGGTGGTGGTGGTGGTGGTGGGGGGGTAAAATGAACCACTGTTGCCCCGGTGCAGCTCGGTCGGACCCTACTGTGAGGGGGTTTTTCGTTGTCATTTGCTAATCTTTGCCCCGGCTAGCTCGCTGAGTAGCCCTTTGAGTGTGGTGCGGAGGGATGCGGGGATGCTACGGCGGGTTTAGCTGTTGTGTGCCCGGGTAGCAGCAGGCTGAGCCCCGCTAGCGTTACTGTTCTGACCCGCGTTGCTTCCTGCCGCGGGAGCCTCGGACGGGTTGAAGAGCCATGCTAACGGCGGCTAATCTGGCGATAATTGGCAAGATGGCATCTCGGAGTTGTTATCTAGAAATCGGCGGATTTTCAAAATGGTGTCTTAAGCTTGTTTGAGTGTGACCATTTTTTTTGTCCGACCATTGCTGTTTTGGCGTTGCCTGCTATCTCAGGAATGCAGCGCAGTGCCAGTGCATTCAGTACTGATAGATATGTCTATACATTAAACCGCCGGTGTGGTTATATGTGTGTGTATATATATAAATAAATATATAAATATATATATGGCTGCGTACTGGGCTGTGTCCTCCAGGCTGCGACTACTATTATGGACAAAACCATTGTATTTTGGAGTGGCGCTAAATGTGCTTTTAACAGAGTTTTTGTGCTTTTAAAAAAAAAGGAAAAAGAGGTGTAGCGTCTGTATTGCATGCGGAAATGTTTGCACACTGGATTTAGGTGGTTCACGTTTTTACATCTGCGCACCTCACTTCGGTTCACCATAAACATGTGGTTCCTCTTGAGGTTCAGTTTTAGCTACAAGAAGAGCCCGGCTAACGTCAGAATTAGTGTTGTTACGTACACATGTAAAATGCAGATTTATCTGGTTGTGATTGATGGAGAGATTAGAATAGAAACTAATTATTTTCAGTTGATTAATGAATGTCCAAAACAATTAAATATGCACATTACTATTTCTCAAAGCCCATTATGGCATCTTGAAATAGCTGTATTGTTTGACAGATTGTCCCAAACTAAATATTTAGATTTTACAATGACAATGAATAAACACTGTAAAGTAGCTAATCCTCCTGGATGTAGAGAAAGATTAGCATTTTTGATTGATAAACAAATGAAACAATTAAAAACCTCTTAGTTAACAGTCAACTAATTAAGTTATCAATCATTTCAGCACTAGTCGAGATAAAACGGTATCTCTGCACTCGCTGACAACTCAGAATACAAAAACTAAACGGAGCTTCAGGATTACACAAAAATGCTAAAAGCGTATTCTTCCTTTCTCTCTTATGACTAGTCTTATCAGTGAAATGAATTCTCTTCACGATCATCTCTTTTTTTGGGGGGCGGATTACCTGCTTTAGTCATTGACTGCTAATCCCATTTAATTCAAGAAGCCTTATCTGTCTGAAGGGATTTCTGAGATACTACTGTTCTTTGCCCTCACCAGAGCAGCACGGTGTAAGTAAAGTGTGTACAGTTCAAATATTATCCTGCAGAGACTGGAAGGATCACACATCTCCATGTATTTGAAACATACAGCGAAGTTAGACTGAAATACGTTACTTTATTGCTGTTTGTCGTTATAACATCTAGTAGATGGGGCCGAACAACATGAGTCATATTGATTCTACCCAACAAAAACAACAACCCACCGATTACAAAGGCCGTCTCTCTCTTTTTATGACTAGTGAAATCAAGAAGCATCTGGCCAAATTGGTGAAGTCATTAAATACAAGGACAATGGTCATCCTTGAGAAAAAATCCACTCTCAAATTATAGTGTTTTTCTGTGGCAGAGGATAAGAGCTAGTTATTAAAAACAAAACAAAGTGCAGCCGAGTTGAACTGAGCTCAATATCTGTCAAAGTGTTGGACGCATTTGCTTCTTCAGTTTCATCTTCTAAGGTGACCCCTGTCTGCCATGCTGGAGGGAAGGGGGGGTTGGGGTGGGGTGTGTGGGCATGTGGTTTTTGGCATGCGTTGAGCACGGTCTTGTGTGTGAATGGTGGGCTGTACAATGCCGCCGTAAAACTGTCAGACTATAGAAAGCTGGAGTCACTTAATGTTACGAGAGTCAGTGGTTCTATAAGAGACTTTTGTCTTTCTGGCACTTCATTCCCGTGTGGTTTGAACCACTTAATGAGTTGCTCATCAGACATCCGAGAACAAAATGCTTACAGACGGCAGCTTCCAGATTCGCCCTCCTCTGGTCTCCAGCCCGCAGTCCTTCAGCTTGACCAACATTTTTTACTAACATATCTAATTATCTGTTTTTAATGGTTTACACTGTAAAACATGAAAAAAAAACCCAGTTCCCCGAAGCCCACGGTGAAGTAACTGTATTGCCTATTTTGTCCACCCCAGCTGTCTAAAACCCAAAGATATAATATTTACAAAAATATAAAACAGAGATAAGCACCAAATCCTCACATAGAAGCTGTGTTAACATTTCTTTTGATAAATGACTTCCAAGAAAATGTGACGAACAACACAACTATTAGATTAAGCATTTAGCACTGAGGTGCCTATTTCTAGGTACTACTTTCAGTGTAGTGCAGCAATGCTAAAGGAATACAGAAGAAATGATAAGCACGACATGAAGCGTTACAACAGTTAACAAACCGTACGTTGGTTTGGTGCGTATGTTTAATCCGTTCAATAAATGATCCACTCACACTCTCATTACCTGTTCAGTGACCTTTTCACTGCTTACCAGCGATAATGAGGTAAGACAACGTACAGACGCAACACTTGATTCTCCTTCGTCTTTGATGTAGTTTGAACACACTGGAAGGATTGTGAACTCTAGTGAAAAGGACACCGATCGTCAACTAATGTGGAGTTGCAGCCATTGTCATTGTTGATTTAATCTGCAGATTATTTTCACAATTATTTTGTCTATAAAACAGAAAATGGTGAAATCCATCACAATTTGACCCAATGTGACGTCATCACGGCATTTGTCTGACAACAGTCCAAAACACAAAGATGGATATATTTATTATCTTACAATAATATAAGACAAGGAGAAGCAGAATTGCTCGCATTATATTTTTTGTGATTTGTGCTTGAAAATGGACTTTAATTAATTGACTATTTGAAAATGCTCAAGTTTAACTGTTATGCTTCCACGATTAGAAATATGTGTGAATTCAAAACAAATGTCCAGTGCTTGATTTTTAACGTAATCTGGCGTTTCATCTAAACAATCATGCAATCACCTTACATGGGGCTGTCTCTGTGTGTGTGTGTGTGTGTGTGTGTGTGTGTGTGTAAGTCACAGTGAATAAAGGCTCCAGTTCCAACCAGGGATGCACCAATATATCTGCCAAACAACAAACCAGATGGCATTGACCGATGTCAGTGGCTGATGTCTGCCTGTTCTGCCACATCAGTTTTGCGCTGACTTAATGTTATTGGTTTTTTACCACGTGGATATTGGGGAAATGATCTCCTTCTGTTTTTCTGCACTGGCACACAAACACAGTGTGGTCCACGCAGCAGTATGAGTAGCAATAAGTCACAGAGGGTTATCTTTGCACATTTCTTTGTTTTCCTGGCACAAAGGGCCAAATAAATAATAGCATAAAAACACACTCGGCCCAGAATTTCCCAATTGGTAATTGGCATCCCCGTTTACGCCCAGAGTAAAGCTCCCATGTGTTGTTTCTCAACTGCTGGAGAAGTGAAGGCGGTAAGTATTTAGACGACATCAGACGCTGTGCATGGAGAGGGGGGACTCGATATTCTTTTAAATCACACAGTTGCATTTCATTTAGTCAGTAAATCAACATAATAACTGTTGTTGTTAAGGCCTCCTCAGTAGCATGGTGCTATATGTACTACTATAGTGGCCTACAGTCACTTTGTAGAATCAGTGCACCAATGTACCACATTGCTCATTGTTCTTGTACGATCATCCCTTTAACGTGTACCTGAACAGATTCCTGATCAGCATTGTCTGGATCAATCATTGCTTGGTGATTGATCTGTGTGTGTGTGTGTGTGTGCATAATGTGGCAGGTTGGAATAAAGGCCTAAGATAAACGGTTTTGAACTGATCCCTGGAGGCAAAGCTGTAATGCATTCAGCTGTCTGTCATATGGGCGCTCTACAACTGTCTGCATACACACACTGCAGGCTGTTGTTTGATGATCAATAGTGTTATTTCATGTTGTTAGTCCGCCAGCAGTTTAAAATTAACATATATTTAATTAAACCCAGAATAATACTCGAGTCAAGAGTTAAAGCAAAATCTTTAATATGCCAACAGGCGGATTATAATCTAGTGTTGTTAATGGGCACTTTTGTACCACAACACAATGCAGGACGTTAATGAAGGAGAAGAAATTGTGTAGTGACGTGACAGCTGCTATGACGGCTCAGCTAACAAAGAAAAAGGCATTTTGCTGGCTATCAGTTTACATTAAGCTTAAAATTGTCGGCGGTGGTCTTAAAGGGAACATATTTAGCTCACTTTCAGATTCCGATTTTTATTTGCTTCAATGTTAAAACACACTTCACACTTCTCCAATGCTAGTGTCTAAAACAAACCAAGTTTAGTTTCAATTCTTCCTTCAATGTCACCGCAGTAATTCTTCTAAACAGATGGGGTGAAAAATAATTACCATCCGAAACCAAGATTACTGGTTTGTGATATTTTTCTCCGAGATATAAATAGAAGTGTTCACCTGTCACATGTTAGCAACTGGCATAGAACCTGGTCGCCATG